GAAGCACCTTCTGAAGGACATTCTGGCTCAGGCGTTGGAGGCGGTAAACCTTATAACGAAATGAATAGAGTATGTCTGATACAAATGGAGCAATCATATTTTTACTTTGTTGCAGAAAATGCCTCATGTCATCAGCAGAGATACGCGACTGAGCACGTACTTGGCATGACTAAAGCAAACACAAAATCTCCGCAAAAATAGCCTGAAAATCTAAAGCACCATTTTACTTTTGTATTGTGGTGATTGTAGTTTTACTGRATGTGTCTTGTCTCTCATTTTACTGCTGCGMRAGCAAATAAAAATCAGAAAATCAWTYTTACTGCTTGTATGTGCACACTTAATGTTGTTTATTTACCCTACTCTTSGCTATTTTCCATTAATTTCTACTAAATTTCCACTAAATAGTTTTAGTGTTTCACAGTTATAATATTTGGACTCCATACAATGTACATTATAAGTATTTAGTAAGTGTCAGTTATTCGTTGTTTTCTATGAGTATATTATATATATTAATACAGAACTAATGTTTTATTAATTAGGTCTGTATCAGGAAAACGTTGAGTAATAATCAGCCTCGCACTCCCCTGAAAATATTCAAAATGTCTAACATGTCTAAACTCGCGTGTAATCAAACACAATTAAAACACACTGAAAAATCAATATTGCAGCAATGCCGTTTCGTTTCCTCGCGATTTACTCGAACGTCGGATAAGCTTCTTTGTTTTTCTTGGCGCCTCGTCTTGTATGAATTTGACCATCCAAAAAATCAACGACTCGGCTTTCATGTCATCAAGACCACCAGCGTCAGCATATCCTGGAATGACTCRCCTTCGGCTCGGATCTTTATCACCCGATACAACACGCYCTCTCGTTCTGTATACAYTACTTATATACATATAATAAAGATATTAAGTACAAACCCTTACCTTGGCATGARTCGTCAAGAATAGTATCCAAACTTTCTTTCAATTTTTCGAATTTCTCAACTTTTACAACGTAGCGAGGATTATCCATTGCTATCTCGAGTAGTTCACTCATTTTTATACCTCTACCAATACCAACAGCTACAGTTCGCACTCCTTTTTCCTGTGACGATTATAAGCAAATGCTCATTACGTACTATAAAGCTAAATTATCGAATTGAATATGATAAATGATAATATGTTATTTATACGCAGGATTCGAAGTAATTGTTRCATATAGTTGTTGAGGCATTAGTAACATTATTTAACCATTACAGCAGTTGAATCAAGAGCATTATGCTGTGATAGTAGTTGACCGCGGATGACCCGATAGCTGCCCAAATATCACTACAAAATGCCTGAGATTTTTTTAAACTCCTCYATTGTTTTTAGTATTCAACAACAAAATTTTTGAAGCGGCGGACCCTATGCAGTGATAGTACCCATCCGTTGCGGGCACAATCTCATTAGGTAGCCGGCTCTCCAATGAGTAAATTTATTGTTAAATAATAAATAATGATAATGATAACATTCCAAATATC